ATCTTTTCTAGGCTCTAAAAGGCTGGTTTACAGCTATTCTGGGCCCCATCAGGTGGAGGGAGAAGCCGTTGCTTGGCCAGGGAGGGTCTGTGGTTTTTGGTGGCTGCCAAGGGCACAGAGAAACAATGATGCTGGTGGGTGGCCCAGCTGCCCACTCTTAGGAGGGCTTTTAAAAAACTTAAAAAAAAAAAAAAAAAAAAAAAGAAGTCTGGAGAAGCCGGAGTGGAAGCAACGCCAGCAGCACGTGGTGCAGCGGTGAGGCACCACCTGCCCTAGGAAGGAGCTGGACAAATCTGGCCCTGAGCTGAGCCCTTTGAAGGAGACATCTCAAGGCTGCCTGGGCAGCTTTGCTGGGCGATGTGCCTCGACATCCCTCATCTGTGGCGAAGAACAGTGGTTAATCCATGGTGGAGTTAGCCACGAGAAAAGGTGTTCGATATGCACACTCTTAGGCTGCTTCTTAAGAATTTGCAGGTTCTGGAGCCTGCAGCCAGCCAGTGTCCATAGTCCTTGGGACCACAAACATGGAGAAAGGTGGAAGTATACCAGGACAAATGTGCTAAAAGGGAAGATTTCCTCCCAGTAACTCTAGCTATGGGTGACTTTGCTCTGAAGTGTGGGGACTTGCAGCTCTTGGCGGTTGTGTTAAAGCTGTGGTGCAAAACCCAACACCTTCCCTTTGCTGTCTTTCCAGCCCCTCGGCAAGCACAAGCGGGACCCCTCTGAGGCAAGTCAGCTGAGCTTTGATGGGGAGAAGCCTCCGGACTCTTCCTTGCCCAAGGCAGTGAATGGGCCTGTGGGGACTGGCAAGGAGACCACAGATGGACAGAGCGATAAAGTCTCAGATGAAGGGATAAACAGTGACAGTGACAAACTGGAGAGCAACCACTCCACAAAAGCCCTTGCCAGCTCAGCCACCCAGGGCAAGCCAGACATCATCTCTCAGCCTGGCCAGCTGGGTAACTCAATGGAGCGGGACAGGCAGTCCAGGTCAGGCAGCAAGGAGCGGAAGAGCATCGGGGAGCAACTGGAGAGCAACTACCTGGAGAACTTCACAGAGGAGAAGCTTGCCAATGGGAGCTTGGATCCCCTGACTCCATCCCTTGGCAGCCGGTCCAAAGGGGATTCAGATTCTGGCAGTACTTCAGCCTCTGAAAGCATGGACCTCACCATCTCCCTGTCTGCTGACCTGTCCCTCAACAGAGAGAGTGGCTCCATCTCCCTGAAGGTGAGAGTGGTGGGCAGAGGGTGTGGAGAAGAAAGGGCAGCAAACCCCTGTTAAAAAGTGCTGAGGTGTTTTTTCCCTTTTTAGCAAAGTCCATGAAATTCAGATCCTTTCCTTGAGAGGCTGTGCATATGCACACTTTGGCCATAGCCCCTTAAACTCCTTTCTGAGAAAGCAGCTTGCTGTAGTCTAGATGGGGTTGATCTTTGGCTACAGGAGGAGAAAGTGACTTGCCCTTAGTCTACCCTGTGCTGGAAGGTGGGGAGCAGGTGAAGTAGGAGAGGACAGAGGGTCCGGGAATCTCGCTTTAGCATGGTGCTAAGAACCACCCAGGTGCCACCCCAGTGCTATTTGGTGAGACAGCTGGAAAGGCTGGCTGTGGTGCTTGTGATGTGAGCATCCAGGCTTGGAGCTCTGCAAATAAACACAGGGTCAGCAAGGAGGGAGGAAGCCCATCTCTAGGCAAAGCCTTCTGTGGCTTGTTTTCCCTGTCTATGGGGAAACACAGACAATGCCCAGCTGGGCTCGGGGCAGCACAGCACATGCTGCTGGGTTAAGCTGCGCCATGGGCATGTGTCATGTCCTTAAGTGAAGAAGCTCTTGGTGGAGCTGCTGCGGGTACAAGTGTCCTCTGCTTTCCCAGGCCACTGAAATCTAATGGAAATCTTATGTTTTGTAGCTATTTTGGGTCCCTGAGAAGTGTGAAGTAACTGTGCCGCTCACCTGACTTGTGCAGTCATACACAGTCAGAGCAAGGACAAGTATGAAGCCCAAAATGCAATTTCCTAAACTTTATCCATTGCCCATCACTCTGCTGCTCTTTCCTAGAACACCTAGCCCCAGGAGAAAGCTTACTTGGGCTGGTGCCTCTCTCAATTTTTCCAACCTGCCATACATCTGGCCTGGTTTCTGTCAGCAGTGACTTGCACGAAAACCTCCCAGGCTTCTTGGCTGTTGCTAAAGCTTTCTGGAAGCTGGGAATGCTTGTGAGCCAGAGCCGGCCAGGTCAGCGTGGCTTAGAGGAAGAAGCAAAATAACTGGAATGATATTTGTTGAGCTTCAGAAGAAGAAGTGTGTGTGACTTGAGGGGGCAGAGTGATATGTTGCACAAGATCTTTATCCAATTGCCTGCATGAGTGATAGCTTCCCGGCACAGAAACGTGCCTGAAAACTGTTCTCGGCAAAACTTTCCTCCCCTCCTGTCTCCTGCTGTGATCATGAGTGCCAGCAACCCCCTGCAGGAGCCTGCAATCAATCTGGATCCCTAATGAGGGAAGTGTGATGTTCTTGCATAGCAATTTAGCCCTCCTCACTGCCTTTCACATGACACCTGGTCTGCTTGAGGCCAGCCAAAGATGAATATGATGCCGTGTGTGTAATTGGTCCCCTAGAAGGGGAAAGGAGTTTTTTGGGTTTTATAGGGAATAAATCTCAAAGAGGTTGTCATGTTAGATCACGGTTTGAATGGCCCCAGCCAGAGGTAATGCTCAGAACAAACTAAATGGCATCTCACTGAGCAAGGTGTTCAAGTAGAGCTGTTCTCCAGGAGTGATGCTGCTGGAGAACACTGGGAAAGATGCTCTGCTGAAGCCTCTGCTTTGCACAGTGAGCTCTGAGTGCCTGGTGCTTCCCCAGGCACTGTGCTGTGCCCTCCTCACCCAGTCTCCTTGCCCAGCCTTAGATTCCTGAGGTTAAACTCACCTGCTCTGCCCTTGCCCATGTTCCTGGTGCTGTTGGGTTTCATGCACAGGGTGCCAGGCAGGTTGCAGCAAGAGAAAGGGCAGCAAGGAGTTAAACCATGTCTAGTTGTAAGCATTAACTATTACATGCTTTTTATCACAGGCTAAACTGCAAAGTTAAGGTGACTTTTATTACCAGATTCTTTTTCCAGTTGCTTATAGTTTAGTCCAAAAAAAAAAAAAAAGCTTTGGCCAAAAGTATCCAGGTCTCTCTTCTTTTTAGAAAGATTAAGGATAAGAAATCTACAGGTGAGTTTGGGAGGCTGCAGCTGGAAGAGAGACCAGTCAGAAAGAGGCAGAAGGAGATGGATAGGGTTTTGAAAAGGTAAACCAAGCATTCTCAGATACAAGCAGTGTTTTGAGTCCCCACTCTGAGCACACTTCACAGCACACATCCCAGTGTGCCTCCTCCAGCTCCCAAGGGTTTCAGCCAAAGCTGTGAACTCCCAGTACCCATGCAGGTCAGACTTCAGAATTTCAAGCTAGATACTCAAAAGGAGGAGTGTTCTCCAGAAACAGTTGTATCTGCAAGGATCTGTGGGGGGTACCTGTGGGTCAGATGGCCCAGGAGCCTTAAAAGAAACCACTGCAAGCTTCCTGTTGTGTGGAATCCTTGACACTGTGATTCAGGGGCATCCTAGCATCCCCCAACAGGCTTTGCTTCAGTTGGACACAGCGAGGAAGGGTCTTCAGGTGGTTGGGTCTCCTCCAAGTCAAGTTTCTGCAGGGTGGAAATAACACTGTAGTGCAGCGCGGTAGCAAGGCTGCGTGGCTTGAATGGCAGCTCCAAATCTACTGATGATTTTTGCTTGATATGATTTTCTTGCTTATGTTCTTCAATAACAACTGCATCAAAATTGCTCTGAGGCTGCCAGTTGTAGCACCCCATGCAACAAGCCGGGGAGCTGCTTCATGGCCTCCTCCTTTCCTTCCCTGC